ACACATTTCAGGTTTGTCACATGATGTTGTTTCAGGGGGTCAGGAATTGGCTGCTTAGCATCACCCAAAGGGGTCAAGCCATTCAGAAATATTTGTAGCCTATTCTAAGTAAACATTTGCAATCGGCTTATGTATTTAATTATTGTAGTATGTTTAACCAGTGCACAGTTCTTTTAGGAGGCTCTTTAAAATGTGAAATGTTCAGTAAGAAGAGAAATTCTTCTGTGAGTTTCAGCCACTATACCACACCAGCTCATTTATTTCTGAATCTGAAGATAACAAAATCAGGTTACATCTGCATAACACAGTAACAGTTGTAGAAACCATCCAACTAATTATTTTAGGGAGTAAACAGATTCCCAGGCAATTAGGCATAATTGTTCAGAACTGCTGATACTGCAGTGTTACACAAGAGCTATTGAGATCTTATGTGATGGCACCAGAACTGTAATGGTATCAGATAGTAAATACCGTGGTTCTTATTCATACTACCATACTCGTTTGACAAAAAAGAAAAGAGAATTAATTAAAAATTAAGTAGCCTAATTGTTATGGAAATGTTTGCTTGAGGCTTACGCCTTTATGTTTATCTGAATTTATTTGAGTGCAGATTGTGTTTTGTAGCTAAAATTGGCTTTGGTTTACTGGTGAGAAAGTACATGTGCTTAGTCTTTTTCACCCTCACTGCCACATAATTCAGCTATGAAGAAAACAATACAATCATATATTCTTGAGTGGAACTCTTCTAATGAAAAATTTAGGAAAGAGAGCCATTTGGGTGCATGATTGAATAATCTGATTCAGTTCCAAGAAAGCATTAAAGGATTTTTATTATTATTTTAATATGTAAATAATAATTGAGGTTTACTTAAGGTAAATGAAGTTTTTTTGCACACACAAAAAAATAAATATGTGGGGAAATTTTTATTTTCAACCCTCATTCTGAACCTCTATCTAAAATTACCTTCTTTTTTTTAATCATAGAATTTTTATTGTTGCAAATTGCATTTTTACATTTTATACCACCCCACCCACCATATACACCCCTACCCAGCCCCAACAAAGCAATCCCCAATTAGAACACAATGACGTCTGAAAAGAAAAATAAAATAAAATAAAAATAATAATTTAAACAAAAAAAAATACATAAATCAAATTAATAATAATAATAAAATAAGGGGTATACATATATACCTCCACTCAATCCACGTCTAAGATTTGTAAATCATTAAAGAATGTGATAAATTGTTGTCATTTTTCAAAAAAAGATTCCCTGCTACCTCTGATATTGTACTTAATTTTTCAAGTTTAAAAAAAAAAGACCAAATCTTTGAGCCAAACTGAAATAGACAGGGGTTTAGGGGAGGTCCAAGATAACAGTATTCTGCGCCTAGCAAGAAGAGATGCAAAAGCTATGACGTCAGCCTGTCTCCGGTTTAAATGACCTGTTTTTAAAGGGCGTGTCCTTTAAGGCTTCTCAGTAATTGGCCACTGTTATGATTGGCTAACATCATTGCATAGGAAACAGTATCAATACATAGCTATTGCATGTGTTTTGACAACATAATCAAAATAAAATGGTCATTTTCAGACAAAGCATTATTAAATCATTTACTTACGGTTTGTGATGCAGCTGCAGTCAGATCTAGTACCGCTTCATCTTTCAACAAATGTTTCTTTGTGAACTCTCTATGACACTGTGCCTCATTTACAAAACAAAATGCTCCGATCAATCCTCTGGTGCCATTATATATAAACTATCCACTTGTTCCTTACGCTGGGATCCTTCTGATATCTGTACAAAGACGCGAACGTGAATTACGAAATCGTGTGAATTACTTGTTGATTTTTGTGATGTTTTTATCAGCTGTTTGGACTCTCATTCTGAAGGCACCCATTCACTACACATGATCCATTGGTGAGCGAGTGATGTACTGCTAAATTTCTTTAAATCTATTCTGATTATGAAACAAACTTATGTACATTTTGAATGGCTTGATGGTGAGGAAATTTTAAAACAAATTTTCATTTGGGGAGAACCATTACTTTAATACTACGTCAAATCAAACTCACACTTGTAGTTTTATCTACTCTAAGTAGCCTATAGTTTTCCTCCTGTCAATGTAGAGATTGTGTCCATTGTTTTTCATGCTCTTCCCACAGCTTGGAACAGTGGTTTGGTCCTGACAAGCTAGGCAATATCGCGTTCATAATCGCAGATGAATCGCATTCGATTATGAATGTGATATTGCCTAGCTTGTCAGTGAACTACGGCTCTGTGTATTAAATGCTACTCCATCTGAAAGCAGGTGATGGCGATTTACTACCAATCACAGAACTGGCTTTTTTAGCTTTCTCTTGAATATTTTCAGTGATTCAGATTCAGTCTGTTGTAGAGTCCCTTGCAACTATGCAAAGAAAACAATTTATACCATTCACTTGTTCTCTCTTTTTGGTGGTGATCATTTTGCCAAGTCTCAGCGCAGACAAACATTGGTAAAGCCTAACTGTATTAAATATAGAATTGTCCATCAATAGAGTACGGTTGGTGGTAGTTAACAGAGTGTTATTGTTGAAAACATTCAAATATCAGGCCCTAACGGCAGAGATGCACTGTGCGAGTTTGGGCAATTGGAAGGTTGTGACTATGCCTGAACACATAACGAGCCTGTAACGAATCAGCTCATGGGAAATATGAATAATTAACCATAACTAGTTATGATTAATTATGAATATTTTAGATCCGCTGTAGATATTTAGCTGACCTCTCAGGGTCAACTGTCTTGTCAATTCTAAGAACGTTAATTTCCTGGTTAAGGGAAATAACTTCCTTACTGTACAATTCTACAAAAGCTTGTAGCGTAAATCTGCATGATTAGTGACTCCGGTTATGAGCAAACAATGAACACGTCAAGTGTGATACAAGTAAGGTTTTATTAACTACATAAACACTTAAACTAGTCTAACATACTACATAAACACATAAACTGGTCTAACATCCTACATAAACACATAAACTGGTCTAACATACACATACACACACACACACACACACACACATACAGTTGGTATAGGAAAGGGTTAAAGTTTAGCTCAGTACAGAAAGAGACATAAGGAATGACATTTATGGAACCATTTGCATATTCAACAGATCTAAGCCTGAGTGATACGTCAGATTCTGAGTTCAAACACACCTTTGTAAAAAGGTGTAACTGATACTTAATGTATCAATTAATAAGACTAAGTTTGATACTTGCGAGTCTCTGCTGTCTGAAAGAGATTCCTGATGCAATCTTAAGGCCCAAGATCTTGCTGAAATTAGTTGATGAAAAGAACCAGTTTGAGTCAGAGAATCTTTGGTGAATGGAGAAGTCAAGGCCGAAAGGCCTGGCACAATGCTTTGAAATCCTGCAGCATTTTCTCACATCTTCATCTTAGCATCCGACTGAACCACCGACTGGGCGGGTCACATGGTGTGTCAGCTTTAAGGTCAGAGAAGATCCCCGCCTCTCAAGATGGGCTTGTCCAATGAGGAAGGCTGAAATCCCAAGCGGGAGGTTGGAAATACTGGGGAGTTTTAATACTCTTTGTCTCTAAGCATGGTATTTCGCATATGTAATTCGCTTGGGTGCTGATGCACAAATTAGTAAAGATTCTTAGAAGGGGGGGGGTCATAAAACCAGTGATATCATGATTAGTTGTCATGGGGACCAGGGGGCCTGGTGTTCAGCAGAAATCCTGGCATCCAGTTTATTGAGTGAGGGGACTGTGACGATTTGTTAATCTAATGAATAATTGATTTGTTAAATCAAATAAAAATTAGTGTGTCAGATTGGTCGAGATGCTACAAGCCAGTTAACCTGATCCTCGTCAGAGCAGTTGGTACACGGCCAGAGCTGGGTAGTAACTGATTACATCTGGATTACGTAATCAGATTCCAAAAAATAAGCACTTGTAATTTCAAATAAAAATTAGTGTGTCAGATTGGTCGAGACGCTACAAGCCAGTTAACCTGATCCTCGTCAGAGCAGTTGGTACACGGCCAGAGCTGGGTAGTAACTGATTACATCTGGATTACGTAATCAGATTCCAAAAAATAAGCACTTGTAATTGATTAAATTACTTTTTAAAATACTCATAATCAGACTACAGTTACTTTTTTTATTGATTACTTATTATTCACACAGCAGCAATAAATTATTCATAACTTATTGATTCTCCCTATAATCCTCTTTTTCATCTTTAACATTTTCCTTTCTAAAATAACCTACCACTTAAATACACTCAGAGGGTCTTCCAGCTTTGTGGACATTCACACAGAGATCAGTCATTAGTCAGGTGGCTACACAGCATCTGGATTTACAAAAATAATTTCCGTTTTAAGCATTTTAACATGTCATCCACTACTATGAACATATTAATTTTTATTTGAATCATCAGTCAGTAGGCTAACTGTGTATTACTATATCTTTGGAAGGCTTTTGTCTTTCAAACACATTAAAATGCACAAATTCATGTTATTTCATGTTTACATGTAATGCAGGCATTCCCAAACTTTTCTGTCATCTGAACCTCTTTCATGTAATATATTTACTTGAAGTACCCCAGAGATTTTGAAATATTTTAATCATTACCATATTTGCATGTTCAAGGTTATCTGGTGTTGGTTAATGGTAACATGACATGCAGGTTAACAAATAAAATATTTCATTTTTTAGTAAGTGTTTTATTTTGATTGATTTTAAAATGATTTGACATTTTTATAATTTAATTAATTATTAGCTTTCCATTAAACTTATGAACCCCCTGGAGTTTTCATAGTTGCTGCTATTGCTTTGAATAGAAAAAGAAAACTTGACTATGGAAAGGTTGAGACCAACAGCAGAGAACAGCGGTCGTTCTGTTTAAAAAAATAAATAAAAAAAAGAGTCTCACAAAATGATGTAGCCTATTACCAGCAAATATAGGCTTTTCATATTTTTATTTTTAGTTAATCAGTCTGAAAACAGCGTTCTCTCAATCTTTTACATGTAAACACAGAAATGTTTCAATGCACATGATTTCTGAAAACAAGAAATGACTATGTGATATTATTGTACAGCACAAAACATGTAACACTGTATTATTTTTTGTACACTTGTATTATAAATATTTTACATTTGTATGTCCGGTGCTGTCATGCAACTGTTTCTGAAAATGAAAATTTTCCTGAATAGCACCTTATAAGTTTCTCATTCTTATCTAAAGTGCAATAGAATGTGGGATTGTTTTTGATTTTCCTTATAAGGGAACATCATGACCAATGGAGAACTGTAATTGTCGAATTGCATGAGGTGTTACTACAGTGGGTCTTCACTGGTGTGGGATGGCATCTGCTTGTTCAGTTTTCTTTGTCCCAGCAGTACTCTTGCAGTGCTCCGGTTTACTGCCTAGCTGATGGCCGTACTCAAACCCGATCCTCAGTTCTCCCACCTGTGAGTGTGGAAGGATGTCTGGGATCCATTCAATCACAAAGGGCACAGGTTCTGTCTGCTCAGCAGCACATGTCCCTGAGAGAAACGATACCACAGTGTTTTAGTCATAAAGCACAATACATTGAATGATAATGATTATCCCCTTGTGCAAACCTCATCCACGTTGACAAAGTCAAAATGATTGGATAAAAAGTCATAACTATCTAAACTTATGAGATAAAGTAAAAAATAATTAACAATAACAACATAAGTTATTACATAAAAAAACAATTATGACATAGGAAATTGAAATTATGAGATACAAAGTCATTGGCATTCACTAGGTCATGCCATTGTTAGATTAAGTTTTAGGTAGACTATCTGTAGCCTTTATGATATGGATCATCATTTGGAAACCGGTGCAGCAGCAGTGCAGAATTCTGGGAGAATGAACAAGTAGACACAGAGCCAGTGTACTATAATAACATTCACAAATGTATTAAGGAAAATGGGTCATATTTATACAGATATATTCTTGCAATAACATACAGAATGTCTTGGGCATCCAAAGGTCAAACATGACCCTATATGGATATCTAAAAATATAACAACTATTAAGATGTGCGTGCAAGCATATGTATGTGTGTGTTCTGGTGTGTGCATTTAGTTCGCGTTTTTTCATCTGGGTGTACCAGTATGTCCAATGTCTAGTTCTTGTTTTGTCTAGGTATGTCTGTGATGGGCACATAAAGACAGGAAGTAACACAAAGGCAGTCAAAAGTGGAGTTTTAAGAAATAAGGAAATTTTACTGGCCACTTTAAATCATTTATGATTTAGCACTTCACTTTTAATGAAAATTTATGATATGGCTTTTTATCTCATAACTTTTTACGTCATAATTATCATTTACCAAAGAATGATTATTTTCTTATATGGCAGAAATGGGCTTCCTAGTCCCAGACATAACTTGAAGGAAAACATTTTTTATATCGAGGCCACAAGTTAACGATACGTTCCCGCGACTTACTAATTCGTCACCTTCGTGAGCACGGTTTACTAATTCGTCACCTCGTTTTAAGTACAGAGTGTGCACGATTTACTAATCCATTCTGTTCATCGAATGATTTGTCAATAACTAATTCCTCTTTGCAAACAGGCTACATCCCCGTTACAGTCCTGTCATATGTTATTATGTATTCCAGTATTAAGTATTCCAGAAAGTGGTGTATTATATATTTCTGGAATTACCTCGATATTGTACTGAATAAATTGTAGAATATTTCTGTTATGGCGCAACAACTTTGAAAATTGGGTACCATATGTGTACGTAGATGCCTTATTTTGGACCATAGATCCACCATATTGGAACGGTCAAAGCCGGTCCGTGAACACTCAAGAGCAAGTTGTCTGTGTGTCTGCAACTGTAGTTCTTGCCTGTGAAAGTTTGTCCCATTTCTTCGGGAATTTAAATTTGGGCAGTTTTTACAACCAGAGGCTGCGCAATATTGTGGCACCTTGGAAAACCCATTGATTTTTACTATGAGCAATGACATATTGACCATTCCAAGATGGCGGACGCTGCGGTTGGGGAGTAACTAGTTACATATAATGGAATTACATAATTTAATTACAAAATAAATGTAACTGTAATCTGTTACAGTTACTGAGAAAAACAAATGTGTCCTTAAATTACAGTTACTTATGAAAATGTTAGCGATTACAAAGGGGGTTACATCTGAATATTGTTTTTACACACATATAGATATGATTGATTTCTTTCCCAAATTTCATTGACTGCTTTAAAATATGAGACACCAATGTTTCAGGAGATTAGGACACAGAATAAGACACATAATTAACTGTTTTATTTCCAATTTGGGTTTATGTATATGCTTTATTTTTGTTTTTTCCAAGGCAATGTTAGATGCCAGTGTTTCCTGTCATAACTATGCAAACATTTGATTTCAAAAACCTATATAATACCTATTAAACTATTTTTTGTTATGATTTTAAATCTGGATTTAACCTCAGAATGATCTCAAAGTAAAAAGAGTTTCTAAAGTCTAATTTTGTGGTGGCTGTGCTTTAAAATTTAATTATTATAATCTTAATTCAAGTAAGTAATCATTGTTGAGTACTACTGTAAGATTAACCCTGCTTTAAATGTTTCAAAATGATTAACAGTTGAAAACATTCATTAGAAATTTAGAAATGTAATCACAAAGTAATCAAATGTAATCAGTTACATTACTTTAGTAACTGAATTAGTTAGACTACTTATTAGTACATTTTAAATAGTGTAACTTGTGATCTGTATCCTATTACATTTCCAAAGTAACCTTCCCAACACTGCGGACACATTGACGTGTCGAAGTGGTCGAATGTGGCATCTACCTATACATATTTATGGTTAAAACGATATACAACAACAAGCAATAATGCAGAATGTTAAATCAGGAATCTAAAACAACACTCTTTCATTGTTTCTATCCAGAAGAACAGTTCTTTCAGAAAATGGAATCACTTCGGGTCCAGTTGGGGATGAGAACTGATAGGGGAATATGATTTGGCACAAAACCAGGACCGATAAATCTGACTTCACACTAAGTAAATACATGCACTTACCCACTCTGAGGAAGGTACGTAGCTCCAGAGGTCTGATGGCCAGAGGCTTATTGGTGCGTGAATGGTGGCAGGTGTCTGATCCAGGATCAGGAGGAGTTGACCGACAGCGGTACGGTGAATAGGAGCCGTCACTGTTCTTCACAAAACTCTGAGTGAGTTCTAGAGGTAACTGTTCAAACAGATTGCCATCATTTAGAGACACAGATGATATGGCCATTAGTGAAGATCTGACACATCAGGCAACAAACGAATACACACCTCTGGGGTATCAAAGATGCGTTTCACATGCATCAAGTTGATAATGTGCCAGGAGTATTTAGAGAAAGAGCCCAGAGGCAAAGCGTCATTACGCACAAATGCTAAAAACACACACATTACAAAATATTAAAACAAGGTGTAACTATACTTCTAATCATCAGATGAGATGGTTGGCACGTGATAAATGTAAGGTTAGATGGCTACATGGCTAACAGATATCTACTCACTGGTGGTGTAGTTGGGTAGTCGTCTCTTCTTTGAGCCCAATGATAAACGCTGCTGTAATGCATTGAAGAAAGCCTGAGGGATGTGGAACACCAGCGGCTCAGGCTTTCCTGTTCACAGAATAACCTTCAGCATCAAATCTCATCTGATCAAAGGTAGAAATGCTTGAAAAGTAGGAAACTTTAGAAATATAAATATATGTAACTGTATATGAAATCTTGCATATCTTAAAGCACCCAAATTTTCTTATACATAAACATTGTCTTTTTACTTTACATTTTACTAATCCGTTTTATTTGTTCTTTTTTGCCATTTCATAAATTGTAAAAAGTATGATTTGCAAATTGTTTTACATTTTGCTACATTTTACAAATAGTTATTTTTACACTAATTTAATACAGTTTAAAAATATATTTTTGTATGACATCACAGTAGTATTGTTGTACAACCCGTCAAAAAGTTTTGCAATATTTGACAACAACTTTATGACAATTACACATAATAATCAGAAGCATCCTGTCAAGAAATAGATTTTATAATTCTACAATATTATGGGGACAAAAATCTCGACAGGATGGTTCTCATTATGCCAAGTGCCCTAAAAATGCTGTCAAATATTACAAAATTGCAAGTACTGAGGAAATCTGAATGTTTAGATTTCTTCCTCTCTCATTTTTTATTTATTTTTTTGCTTCTACAAAATGATGAAAAATAGATGTGCATCAGGTGCTTTTTGTCTTCTTTATTTTCAGGTTATAAAGTTGCAAACTGAATCATTACTTATTCAATTGTTATTGTACAATACTATCATACATATTTTGTACATGCAAAATAGTCTCCCACTTATAATTCATAACTTTATGATGGTGCACTGAACTAGTGAATACAATCTTTCGTATATGACTTGAGTGTACCAATAGGCTTCATAATCTTTCATTAAAATATATTTTTCTTTTGATCTGAGGTGAAATGTGACCTGGACATGTTTTTGACAGGCTAATATTCTCTTACCATCAAACTGAAAGTGCATCGTCTGATGGATCCTCTCGGTAACACTGGCCAACCACTGCTGGAAACCCAGAGACACATGTGTCTCATCCACCGGCTGGCTACTTCCTGTTTAATTCACCCAACCACACAACACACATCAAAATCAATAAACTACGATAATGAATTCCGTGTGTATATCATTTATATTTTCAAACTTAAACGTGTAATGTGACTGTAAATCTCTCAAAATCAACCAACAAATGTTTCATATCTGTACTAAAGAACAATGAGAGCATGGGAAGGATACCGAAATAAAGTCAAAGAAGAAGAAAAGCAAAAGTGTGTAAGGGAAGAGGAAGTATCTGGCAGCACCTGGGTTCCTAAGCCCAGTAGAGCTGGAGTTTTTTCTGTGAGTGGGCTTGCGCTGGTTTAGGGTGGGAGCAGAAGTATCTTTGACAGCCAGAAGAAATGTGGAGGACACAAAGGAAGTGGTGTGAAATAGTGACAGGTCCACAGAGCCCAAGAATAAAAGAGGAAAACAGATTACAGAGAAGATGGTCAGTAACTACAGAACGTAACAGCAGTATTTAGATATCAACAACAAATTTCAGTGGGTGGGAAAGAAGAGACTCCGAAAATATTCATTTTGAGGCCCACACAGAATCTGTGCCAACAGAAAGCTCAGATTTCCTCAAAACTGAAACATCCATCATTCACAAAATTCCCTGCTTCTTCATGTGTCTTATTAAATATTTTGGTGAATATTGTCATTTTTTTGTAGTTGATGTAACACTCTCAGCTTAGCTTGACAAATATTACCACATACATGCATTTTCATGACTGTGAGCAAGAAAAATAAGACATTTTGTCACTTCTAACTTTCTCTATGACTGATCATTTTATATGTAAATACAGCCAAAATAACAGCACATCCGTTGTTTTTAACTTGTGTCTGTGGTGATTTTGTCAGATGACACTGCAGTTATGTATCAGGATTTTAGCATTTCATGCCAATTTCATTGTCAGAAAAATATGTTTTATTCAGAATTTGGCTGTATCAAAACACAGAGAGCACACAGAGTAGGACAGAAACAAATGGATGTAAAGGGTTGATATTAGGTAGAATGAAAATACAATTCAACGACATCATGAATATGCTAATTAGCACACAGCACAATCTAAGAACATTTAGCAATTTTCAAGCAGAATTTCACTAATTTCCACTGAGATTACTTGGCAATAGAGACCTTTGTGCAGTAGGTCTGAGGTCACACATTCTGTGATGCCTATCCATGAGCTTTAACTTACCAGTAGAGGACTCCACAAATTTGAGTCTCTTGGAACGGTGAGAAATGGAAGGCTCAATGTGCTGTTGAGACTCAGGTATACTGAGCATTGTATCTGCCCTCTCCTGCAGTCCTGGACATGCATAATAATTCTCACAGTCATCTCTGATACATAGAAAAACACTCAACACACTACATTTGTGTACTATGCATTTTGAAGTTTATTAGATAATGTTGTTATGCTGCCTTCACGTGCTATCGGAAATTTCCTATTTCCCACTTGTGAAGTCGTGATTACGAGCTTGTCGTATATATATAAGTAATGTCGGAAAGAATAAAATGTAGCATCCCATTGGTTGACGATCATAAACATTCACCACACTACACATGCAGTTTGCTGACAATTCTGGAATTTCGGTCAAATACATGCTTATAAATCATATCATATCTAGCCAATAAATACACTACTTTAGCGACAAGACAAAGGGATTTAGTTGTTGTGAGAACAGCATTGACAGTAGCAATGGTTGTCCCCTCCACCATGTTTAAAGATTGACCCGCCCACCAACTCAGAAACTCTGGTATCAAAATTATTTCCGAATTTCCCAGTAGTAAATACGACTTGAGAGGCGTTCAGGTCTAATTTCCGATTAGGAAACTTGTATTTACGATAATTCTGATAGCATGTCAAGGCAGTATTAGCCTGGCATTATGGTAACATCAAAATCTGTTGGAAACAATTCAGTCAAGTTTCCCTGTACACTTCAGGAGCAATATTTTGTGCTGCACAAATAGCTTTCTGTCACTTTTGAAATCTTGGTTTGGATGCAACCTTAGAGCACGGGTAGTCAACTCTGCTCCTGGAGGACCTTCCTAACTGTGGTTTTCAAGGAATCCTAAATACCTTGATTAGCTGGTTCAGGTGTGTGTGATTAGGGTTGGAGCCAAACTCTGCAGAATGGTAGCCCTCCAGTAGCTGGATTGGCTTAGGCCACATCCACACAAAGCCTGGGCTTTTGCTATCTGATGTTTTTTTCCTCGTTCTAAAAAAATTATTTAAACACGGTGTTGTCTTAAGAAATATCTGCATACACACGAAACCACTGAAACCGACTCAAAACAATGTAGTATACATGCCAGGCCAGTATGTGGCGCTGTATTTCTGCCACAGAGATACACTAAAAATGGAGAAGTGTGAGATGTGATTGTTGTCATAATTCTATAAAAATCTAAAATACATGTTTGTATTAAAGTAAAACTGAATGATAAATACGCCTTTCATATGAAATTAAGTAGCAAGCACTTTGAGTGTCTTGTTCATCTTTTTTATTTTTATATAAAAGGCAACAGAACTGAAATTATATTGTTACTTATGCTCTTATCTGTCACATTCAGTTCAGTTCATGGAGATCTCTCCTAATGAGCTGATGATCTGAATCAGGTGTGTTAGATAAGCATACAAAATGTGCAGGACTGGAATTGAGAACCACTGCACTAGGTTTTGAAGAGCTTATGTGCAGGTGCTTCGGTCCTGGGGCCCGTTCTTCGTACATCGCTTATTACAGCCGAGATGAAATGTCACATCCAAGATGATATCATCGTGCTAATTCGGTTCTTCGAATGCACCTGTTGTTGATGATTAGTACGGCTGGATTGAGTTATCTGAGATAATTGCGCGTTCATGGGTTGGTATAAAAGGGGCTATGTATCGATACTCGAAACCACGATCAGCAATGCAGCGATTGGCTGGCGGCAAGACAGCAACGTAATGACATCATATAATTGATAAAGACACCTGATGAAAGACTTGACAAATTTTTGGACTTTTATAAGGAAACAGCCAAGCGAACAAAACTACATAAATGTTATAACAGATAAATGAAATGTTTAATTTTTTTACATGATTCCCAATTATTAATTTTCACCATTTCTAATATTTGTACAGGCTTTACATTTTTATTTCAATGTAGTAATTAGCAATTCATTTAATTTTATATTTGAACAGATTTGTTATGTGACAGCATTAATTAAAGTTTCTTAAAGGGGTGGTTGACTGGGTTTTTTCTAGGCTTGATTGTGTTTATGGGGTGCAGTCTAACATGTGTTCATGCTTCGTTTTTTAAAAAACGCATTATTTTTCACAATTTACCTTTATTCCACACCGCTCTGTCCCTTCTCTAACAAACGCCTCGATTATTTCCTGTTTTTATGAAGCCCCTCCCTCAGAAATACACCTCTACAGCGCGTCTGAACATCCCGCCCCTCAAGCTCAGAATGTGCTTCGATTGTATTGTAAACAATGACGTCCTCAATATTGCTTATCAATCTGAGCCCAATTGAGACACAGAGAATATTAATGAGGAGGATCCCGCAGAACCTGTGCAAGCACTGCTCTTAATGGTATGTTTGTTTGTTGTTGTTCCATACTTTTAGATACGCTGTTGTTTGTAAATGCTACTGCTTCTGTTAGCTTTTAATATATGGTTTTATTCTGATTAAAGCTTTAATACAGCACACATACGCACGTCCATGTATAACGCTTCTCATAGCTATGTGAAAATAAGTGTATAAATGGAATAGTTTGTTGGAGCTGATCTGACGATCTGAATGAGAGAGTGAGAGAGAGAGAGATGCAGAGCAGGGGAACGTGAGGAACAGGATTGAGAACCGCTGCTTTAGAACATTGGTTTTGAAACTTGTGAATCCATTAGAATCGTTAGAAGACAGAATCGCGATTCTATATGAACAGATTTTTACGTGCACCTCTAGTTTTCTCTTCCTCTTCTGTAAAGCAGCACAACATGGCCTCACCCCCTTTGCTGCGTGTTCCCGGGGGGCGGGGTTTATCTGGGTTTGTGACATAACGGACCTGGGAAGAAGCTCATTGTAGTCCCTTACCAGTCGTTTTTGTAGGCATTAAACTGCCAGAATTTTAAAAGATGATATCTCCGTTTGCATTGAACTTTCAGCGCTGCAACTTTGCAGATATTGTTTATGCTCAAACAGCAACATTACACACTAACTAACGTTAAAAAAGTGAAATCGCAAATCAACCACCCCTTTAAGGGTCAAGAGCATGTTATCTGCATCTCCTGCGCTCCATCAAGCCACTCCCATAATATCTGTCATCACTCAAACTAATGCACGACTCTACATTATCTGTATAGCATGTGTGTAAGACTCGAATACAATTATGACGTAATCATTTTATGACGAATAAATCTCTCTGGCTGTGTCTATAGTATTAAAGACTAACATTATTATATTATCTTTAAATACATTTTTAAATGATTATTATTTTAAATTTTTGTCCCTGTATTAGTAGGGCACTCTTGTAATAAAGTAGCGTTGGTAACAGACAGATTTTAAGTATCAATTCTGCTTAAAAAGATGCCATTTAATCCTGTTTACATGAAATAAGCCAGGATGAGCTTCGAAGAACCAAACTATCCAAGATCATGCCAAATCGTCAACAATCAAATCCAGCTAACTGAGTTAGCGACGTACGAAGAACGGGCCCCTGAAGGATCACTGTTCTGCAGAGTTTACCTCCAACCCTAATCAAATACACCTGTCTGTAGCTTTCTAGCGATCTTGAAGACATTGATCAGGTGTTTTTTAATGGGGTTGGAACTAAACTCTGCAGGATAGCAGCCATCCAAGACCGAAGTTGCCCAGCCCTGACATAAGGTGACAACCTAAATCCTAGGGACCCACTGTCCTGCATAGTTTAGTAACAACCCTAATCAAAAACACCTGAACCAAATAATCAAGCTCTTCTACATCACTTGAAATATCACAGTCCAGGTGAGCTAAAGCAGGTTGAAAATCAATTTTGCAAGACAGTAGGTCTCCAGGAGCAGGGTTCAAGACCTAGGACCTAAATTGTGGACTTACCATTAATGTTGTAGTTGAGGAAAGCTGAAAACTCAGAGGTCAGCTTTTCATCACTTGTAAAGGCACAAACGCAAGCATAGAAATGGAGGCAGCACTCGGGTAAACTATGCTGGTGGGAATTTTCTCCTTCGTTGATGTTAGACTGACCCCCACTTCTCACCCCCAAATCCCCCTTGGTATTAGGTACGTAACATGCACAGTGAAAGGGAGCCAGACTCATAGTCTTGTCTTTAACACCAGATACGGTCACTGTCAGATGCAGCAGTCCCAGAGGGTGGGCTTCACCTGGCTGGCACTTCACTATTAGGGTCCCTTTAGAGACCCTCTGCACCAGGGGTCCTGGTGTCTCGGTAGCCAGCCTCCACAACTCTTCCTTGTCTTGGGAAGTGGCCACTAGGCCCTCCAGCACAGAGCTCTTGAGTGGCAGAGGTGTTGCTTGGGTCTGACACTCCATGGCTTGCTTCACATGGGTACAGGGACTTTTGGATGGTTGCGACACTTGCTGATGGCCACCTTCAACTGTCAACTCACTTTCGTTCTGCTGGCAAGAGGGCATGTAACAGCGACCGAGGTTGACACGGGTCAACAGGGTTCCATCTGCAGTAGTAATAGCTGTATCCGTGAGGACTAACTCAACAAAGCCTCGTTGTTCAGAGCCATGTCCCCGCTGACGCACAGAGAACACTTGCGACCCTCCAGCCCTGCCACCTCCACTGTCTGTCACAACTCGAACCACTTCACATGCCCCTTTCTTTAAACGTCCCGTTCCATGGTCCCCATCCCTGAAGATGGTTCCACAGGCCTTGTTCTTACAGCTGAGGCCACGGGTCCCATTGTAAACGCCACACTGAGGGCACTTGCGGATGCCTCTTAAGGTAGCCTTGCCCAAGTTGGACAGAAATGCAGGAGTCTTCCGCTTGTCCCGAGGCTTTCCGCTCAAGTTACCAGAGCTTTGAGTAATGGGAGAAACCACCATTTGTGACGCCAGTGGTATTCCAGAGTTTACCAGAGAACCATCCATTGTTAGCAGATGTACACTGAAACCGAGATTGATACAGGACAATTTTATTGTCAATGCACAAGGGGGGAGCCCTTTTACCATTTCCCAGTACCATTTAAAGGGTTGCATTCGCACCGAGAGTGTGTTACGAAGAAGTGATGCAAGGCGGTCGACAGCGACATCATTTGTGCACCGCGTTCAACAACAGAAACAAAGATCTACGTTAACAACAGGAGGATGGA